ACCATTGTACTCCACCTCCACTCTTCAGGCATCCTATTAGTCTTGAATATAACACTAAACAATCCAGTAAGCTATTTCAAGCCTGCTCTACCCACACACCTCCAAAGTTCAACCGGAATTTCGTCTGGTCCGGTAGCTCTGCCCCTTCTCATCTTCCGCATTGCCTCCATGACTTCATCGATCTCAATGTCCCTACAATTACTTAATTCATGGGTACTGTCGGCATTCCTTAATTCCCCAAGTATAATATCCTGATCCCCTTCTTCACTTAGAAGTTTATGAAAGTAGGTCTGCCACCTCCTCTTAATCTGGTCATCTCCCATCAAAACTTTGTTGTCATCATCTTTTATGTACCTCACTTGGTCCAGATCCCGAGTTGTCCTCTCTCTCGCCTTAGCGAGTTGGAATAACTTCTTTTCCCCACCTTTGTTCCTTAGTTCCTCATACAGACGAGCAAAAGTTGTCGTCTTAGCCTCTGTCACTGCCATCTTCGCCTCCTTCCTAGCTACCTTATACCTTTCACTGTTCGCTCTCTTCTCCTCGTCAGTGCTCCCTACTAACCGCAGGTAAGCCGCCTTCTTTGCTTCCACTTTACCTTGGACAAACCATTAAAACATAGTGGTTTCTGAAAGTTTCTCTTTTAAAAAATGGTCTCTTTGAATAACAATTGGATTTTGCTAAGATGACTCAATTTGCATTTAAAAGTCCCTTTTCGTTTAAATTAATTTCATTATGCTTCCATAATTATAATAATTTATAATAAAATGTATTATATTATATAGTTATAGAAATTGATAATTAGTGTATATTTATGCATTTATATATATAGAAAATAGAGAAATATATTATAATTAGCAAATAATTATTGTATTAATAACTAAGATCCATTAGAATTAAATGATAAATAATGATGATTAATTAACTAAAACAATCACGATATAATAACAATAAATTAATATGCTAAATTACATTAAGACTAATAATTATATTTTCATTTTAAAATCTTGAGGCTAGAAAAATATAACAAATACTTTGGATTAAATATGTCAAATATATTTAGTAAATTATTAAGAATTAGAAAGCATAGAGAAATTGATTGAAAAAAGGAGGGCCAAAATTGGTCTTCAACACTTGGTTGATGCCGGGAAACCGAGTTGATCATCCTCAATTCTTATCTTTGACTCGTACCGGTTTTGAACATCCACCCATGTTGTTACTCGAAACTCGAGCATACTTTCTTTCAATTGTTGGGAAGCATTAGAGCTTCTCGGATTCAGCCCCTTAGTAAGTGGTTCAGCTACCCATTCGTCCGCTACAACCGGTAGAAGCATCCTTTCTTTCTGGAATCTAGTCACGAACTCCCACAACAATTCGGACTCTCCTTGTGCAATCCAGAATATGTCGGCCTTTGGGGCTTGTGCCTTTCTTGCCTCGGCATGGGCTTGGATAAAAGAATCTGCGAGCATCTCGTAGGAATCTATTGAGTACTCGGGTAAAAGCGAATACCATGTCAGGCCCCCCTTCGTGAGGGTCTCCCTGAAGTTCTTCAGTAAGACTTACTCAATCTCGTGCGGAGCTAAATCGTTCCTGTTCACCACCGTTGTTTAGGTGGTGATGTGCTCCTGAGGATCCGAAGTCCCATCATACTTCGGCATGTCTGGCATCTTGAACTGCTTCGAGATCAATTTTGGTGTTGCGCTTGGTTTGAACGGCAACTAGGTGTATTTTTTTAAGTCCGGTCCTTTAAATACTAGTGGTGCACCAGGAATTTGATCCATTCGGGTGTTTATTTCCCTCATAAATCGCATGAGTTCGGTCTTAAAGGGATCATTCTCATTGTTGTTACCGAATTTGCTACCATTCTCCCCGGCCCTATCGAAATCGACTTCGGCCCTCGGGGTGTTGTTGTCGACCCTCTGAGTTGTTTGGTTTGCGGGAGCACCGGGAGGAACTAGACCACGTCCATTCGCACTGTTGGAAGCACCTGACAATGCCTGCCTTAACTCCGTCATGACCAGATCCTGTCGTGAGAGGTGACCTATAATGGCCTTTTGTTACTCCCTTAGGATCCTTATTGTTTCAGCGACGTACTCGTCTTCAGCATCATCGGGAGTTGCTTCTCGAACATGTCGTAGATATTTCTCGCCATGGACCGGCCTTGCCTCATCCCCCTCGTTGGGGGTATCACTGATCGAGTCTTCGTGCTGAGGCTGATTTCCTTGGGCCTCAACGTTGTGTGCAATGTTGACATCATTATCTGCCATTTTGAAATGACTTTTCTAAGAACAAAGAAATCAAACAGGTTAGTAACAGATGCAAGGATCAACTCAATTACTCAACTGTCTAAGCCCCACGGTGGACGCCAAACTGTTTACCCGTAAAATAGTAATTTGATCCCAAAATGATAAGAAAAATTAGCTAAGAGTATAAGAATTAGCGTAAAGATTGAGATAAGATAATAAAAATCTTGATTCCGGGAGCAGAGCTTCCGGAGGCAGTAGTAACGATACTAATAAGCAAGAAGATCAAA